GGAGGATGGCCCAAGTCTTTGGGCCCTGCACCCCATGGGAGACCAGGAGAAGCACCTGGCTCCTGGCTTCGGATCAGTGCGATGTGCCGGCCGCAGCGCGCCAGCCGCGGCGGCCATTGGAGGGTGAACCAACGGCAAAAAAAAAAGGAAGACCTTTCTGTCTCTCTCTCTCACTGTCCACTCCACCTGTCATTAAAAAAAAAAAAAAAAATCTGTATTTCATGGGAGTTAGTAAAAAGTGTCCCACATACCACATAGTCGTACATATCACATTGATATATAAAGGGACAGTGTTGTATGTAAAGGTATGACACACCTCAGTAGGGCAGAAGTTTACGGGTGTGTCTGCAAAATAGTAAGGGAGTCAGATCAACACTGATCTAGTAAAGGGAGTGCATCCCTAATGTAACAGAAATCGATTCAGAAAGTATTCATCTTCTACCTACTTCTGTTTTATATATAAAGATTTATTTTATTTATTTGAAAGGCAGAGTCAGAGAGAAGGAGAGACAGAGAGAGAGAGAGGTCTTCCATCCACTGGTTCACTCCCCAGATGTCCACAACAGCTGGGACTGGGACAAGCTGAAGTCAGGAGTTTCTTCCAGGTCTCCCACATGAGTTCAGGGACCCAAGCATTTGAGCCATCTTCCACTGCTTTCCCGGGCACTGCATCAGAAGTGTAGCAGCCGGGACTCAAACAAGCGGCATCACCTGCTACATCACCATGCCGGACCTATCTCCTAACTACTTCTAACATTAATCAATTCTCTGTGTCTGTAGTCTAGTATGTAAAGCAGAATTTAAAACCTTACCTAGGCTGTGCCGTGGCTCACTAGGCTAATCCTCTGCCTGCAGCACTGGCACCCTGGGTTATAGTCCCGGTCGGGGCGCCAGATTCTGTCCTGGTTGCTCCTCTGCCAGTCCAGCTCTCTGCTGTGGCCCGGGAAGGCAGTGGAGGATGGCCCAAGTGCTTGGACCCTGCATCCGCATGGGAGACCAGGGGGAAATATTCCTGGCTTTGGATCGGCACAGCACGCCAGCCGTAGCGGCCACTTGGGGGGTGAACCAACGGAAAGAAGACCTTTCTCTCGGTCTCGGTCTCTCTCTCTCTAACTCTGCCTGTCAAAAAAAGAAAAAAAAAAAAAGAAAAAAAAAAAAAACCTTACCTAACCAAAGTGCTTAGAAATGGGTGGCATTACTAATGTGCTTCACTCACAAACCGAAGATTCAACTGTCAGCACTCTGGGGAAAGAGGAATCTTTAAAAGAGTAAGTTCAGTTTTCCATCACTATCCATGCATTAAATGAGTTGATTTCCCATACAACAAAGAAGTTCACATTCTAAATATCAATTTCTTTCAGACAGCCATAGAGATATAAGAGAAAAGATGACAGCAGAATTGTTACAATCTCAAGAAATATCCAGAAGTTTTTTTGTTGTTGTTAAGACTTATTTAATCATTTTGAAAGTCAGAGTTAACAGAGAGAGAAGGAAAGACACACAGAGATAGAGGTCTTCCATCCACTAGTTCACTCTCTGGATGGCTACAACAGCCAGCACTGGGCCAGGCCTAAACCAGGAACCAGGAGCTTCATTCAGTTCCAACTAGGTCTCTCAAGACCCAGAAGTTTTTAACATCCCATGCTTAGCAACAGATAACTTTCTTTGGGAGACTTTTCTGTCTTAAAAGTAGATGCAAAGAAAACCGTTTAGCAGAGGGATCCACTCACAGTCAACTGGGGGTGATTAGCTGCTAAGTTTTATTAGGCTTCCTTTAATTATTCCTTTAACTTGGGGTGCATATAGTTAAGGTGAACGGGGGGTATTATTTATTGCTGATTATGTATAATACAATGTTTTATCTGGAACACATAAATAATTAATCATTATTACAATCCTATAAAGCACTATACTCGTTTTACAGATAAAAAAACTGAAGCTCAAATTAGGAACGTGCATCACCTAAACCTCAGAGTTAAGAGAGACCTGGCTTAGGGCAGGCATCACAGCATAGCAAGGTGGGTCGTTGCAAATGGCGTGGCACCTACACCCCATACTGGGGTGTCTGGTTTCAAGTCCCTCCTCTGCTTCCAATCCAGCTTTCTGCTAGTGCACACCTGGAAGGCAGCAGATGACAGACCAACTACTTGGGTCCCTGACACTCATGTGAGAGACCTGGATGGAATTTCTGGCTGCTCCTGACTTCCACCTGTACTAACCTTAGCTGTGGCTTTGGGGGAGTGAACCAGCAGACAGAAGATGGAAGATATCTGTCTCCCTCCCTCCTTCCATTTGTCACTCTGACTTTCAGACAAAAATAAATAACTTTTAAAACTTCTAAAAAAAAAAAAAAAACAGGACATCAGCACTGTGGCACAGCAGGTTAAGCCACTGCTTGCTTTATCCCTCAACTCGTTTACCTCCGAGGCTGTGGACTTAAGGATGACGTTGCACTGCCTTCCTTCTAGCAATCTAAGATTTTATAGGCACTCATATCACACTTTTCCTGATTTGAAGAAATTCCAGAGCAAATGTCCACAGAGGTCTACAGATAATGGAAAGGTGTGATGTTGCTGGATGCAAGAGAAAATGAAGGGAGGCAGGAATGTGGATAATTGGAGAATTCAGTATTTGTTTAAAGACAGCAGCTGCAACACAGCTCCAGCTCATTATGGCTATGCAGGCACAAATGTTAGCAAATATCACCAGCTCTTCTCATTTTTTTCCAGATTTTTTTCTTGATTTTTCTTAGAGCTGCCCATTAAAAAAAAAAAAAAAAAAAAAACCACTAGCATTTAAGTTGAATTACAAAGGAAACATTATACAAGCCAAATGAAATACACCTGAAGCTGAATGTGGCCAACATGTAATAAATACATTCTGGAGATTCTGATGCATGACTCCTTTCCCAGAGATCCTAGACTAGACTCTCTGGTGCTAGATGATTTGCCCATTATCCTCAACACTGGATGCATTCAACAAAACTAGGCTTTGTCTGCTATCTTCAGCTTATCGTGTGTTTTAAGATTAATTCATGTACAAGAAAGGTCACTAACAAACCACTAACCAACCCCAGTCCCTTCTTTCTCTCCCTCTCTTTCATCCCTCTTTGCTTCTCCCTTTCCCTTAATTATCCCCCCTGCTCCTTCTCCCTCCCACTCCACAAACACAAACATACCCCCTTCCCCTCCCTCCCTCCCTCCCTCCCTCCCTCCCTCCCTCACTTTCTCCTCCCCACACCCTCATCCTTCACAAACTCCCTCTCTCTCTCTCTCTACTCAACCATCTCAAGTCTGAAGCTTTCAAGTTCAGGCTTCATATATCTTATTTTGCAGCCTTTTAATCAAGCTTTTAGCCCTTCTCTGAATTCTCTTAAAATTCTTCACATTCCCCATTATTTGAAGACATCAAAATTGGGATGTCGGTTCTTCAGGGTAGTATTAACAAGCCCTTAGATGAGATTAGGCCTTATTTTTAAAGCTGCCATAAAGGTTCTCTAATAACCTATGAATTCTAGATCACTGCAACTTATAAAAATTCTTGACCCAGAGGCCATTTAAAAGATAGGTTTTAGGGGCCAGCGCTGTAGCAGAGCGGGTAAAAGCCACTGCCTGCAGTGCTAGCATCCCATATGGGCACCAGTTCAAGTCCTGGCTGCTCCACTCCCAAACCAGCTCTCTGCTGTGGCCTGGGAAAGCAGTAGAAGATGGCCCAAGTCCTTGGGCCCCTGCACTCACGTGGGAGACCCAGAAGAAGCCCCTGGCTCCTGGCTTCAGATTAGATCAGCCCAGCTCCAGCTGTTGTGGCCACTTGGGGAGTGAAACAGTACATAGAAAACATCTCTCCCCCCCCGCCACTTCTGTATAACTTTGCCTTTCAAATAAATATATTTTTAAAAAAGATGGGTTTTAAAAATAAAGCAGCATCAGTAATATTTACCTTTTTGGTCCCTATGACCACAAAGTAGAAAGTGCTTGATCACACTAGTTTTAAATCCACACTTAAATTTTCTCGATGGTCAAAAGATGGGAGAACTTAAAAGTAGCATAAAAATTTCTGAATAAGAGAATAGATTATGGGATTGAAATTTGGCCTTCTTGAATCATTCTTCCTTTTTCCTGTTGTCCACCTGTGATTCTGTTGTACAATATTCTAATACTAACTTCAGTTCCAACTAACTTTCTCCTGCAACAAATTAAAAAAAAAGCCTTTTTTCAATATGTATGTATTTATTTGAAAGGCAGAGTGACATAGAAGGAGAGACCAACAGACAGAGAAATGTCCTATCCACCGATTTACTCCCCAAGTGGCCTCAATAACCAGAGCTGGGCCAGGCTGAAGCCAGAAGCCAGGAACACAACTGGATCTACCATGTGGGTGGCAGGGGCCCATCTTCTGCCCCCTTCTCAGGCACATTAGCAGGGAGACAGATCAGAGGCAGAGTTGCCAGGACTCAAACTGGCACTGTGAAACGGGAATGCTGGCATCATGAGCACCAGCTTAACCCACTGGCCAGGACGCTAGCCCCAAATACAAAGAACTTGAACCTAAAAATTAATCTATAAGAGACATACTGTCTAATGGTATCAAGAGTTTTTCTCTACTATAAAAGTTTGTAGATTCTGATCAAAGTTGATGGAAAGTAGATGACAAAAGGCTCATCGATATGAGCTAACTTTAAATAGCAGCCGCTGTTTGGTTTAAATATCTAATTTGAGGGTTTTCTGACTACAGTTTTTTTTTTTTTAATCTCCTCCACAGAAAAGCCAAAGAAAACAAATACCATATTGACTTTGGTAATTAGTCATCTGGATATTTTATTCACCAACTGAAATGCCTTTAGAAACTTCTATCTGAAGAGATCAGTCAAGGAGAGTTTCTGTGTTCACTAAATTCTTGCTTTAACACAAAAGCACAGTGGACATAATTCCATGTTCTTAAGTAGCAACGACACATACAGGGCGGCCAACTTGAGATTGGTGTGCAGCATTTGTACTTACAGTTCCTCTCCTTGGGTGGCTTTCTTGTCTGCAACCAGATAGACAGTTCCAAAACTTCCACTGCCAAGCTTCTGTTGAAGCGCATATCTTCTTGCAATCAAGGCCGCTGGGTAAGTGGAAACAGCCGCCGAGCCGCTCACACATTTGGCAGTCTCTCGGAATTTCTGCATCACTCCAAACAAGACGAAACTGCTTCATTCACTTACAGAAAGATTCATCCAAGCAGCATTGGACACTGCCTTAAAAAGATGAAAAGTCCAGAGATCAGGTCTAGAGGATCGTGACCTATTCCTAACAAAAATGTGAGTGTGTGACAGTGATACCCTTATTGGTTAACTTTAAGGACTTGAAAGGAAAATGTGAAAAGGTGGAGATTGTGCCATTCTAGTAGAAGGCAATCTTTCCTAGGAAGAGAGCCTTCCTGGTCCATCCAAATTTGGCAAACTGAATTACAGCAAATTTTCTACAAACTTTTGGCATGTATATCTGTTTTACAATACACAATGTACATTTTTGCCTTTACATCCCCTAACTACATGAAGAAAATCCCAATATAAGAACATATTATTTCCTTAAATCTATGTATTTGTATTAACCCTTTGTAATGCTCTCTTCCTACCAGATGTTAGTTTGATGCTGGTTTTCTTTAGATTTTCCTGTCGACTTTAAATCAGTTTTTGCATTTAATAGGATAGATATGCAGAAGGAACTTGTTCCCATCTTACACAAATTCTGATCCAGTTTCTTAAATTTCTGTTATATACACTATGTATAAATCTCCCTGAATCAGAAGCAGAAAGAGTCGCAAATATGATTCAAACCTGAGGCTGTATTTTAGTGTTAGCTGAATATAAATGTGTTACAGGTAAACTTACAACTCCTCCAGGAGCTGTAAAATGTTAGGGTTACAAAAGGCAGAGTGTTTCATATGAGTAGGTGTGTGATAAAAATCATTTTTATTGCATCAAAATGTTAAATGTTCTGTTAGTACTTAGGAATAGTGTTTCTATTTTAAATCTACATGAAAAACATTATTTTACACTAAAGACTATCTATGCCTTGGGCTTAGGTTTCTATATTCGACAGTTCCAAAAAGCTATTAGACAAAAACCTGTCCTTTTTTTTATTATTATTAGACAGATAGAGTGAGAGACAGAGAGAAAGGTCTTCTTTCCGTTGGTTTACCCCCCAAATGGCCACTATGGCCAGCGCTGTGTCGATCTGGGACTAGCAACCAGGACTAGAACCCACCGCCCATATGGGATGCCAGCGCCGCAGGCAGAGGATTAACCAAGTGAGCCATGGCGCTGGCCCAAGCCTGTCCTTTATAAGGATGACCCATGAGCTTCACATGGGCAGTTTCAGTTACCCACAACTAGTCTCAAAATGAAGCATGAACAGATAATTGCCCATTGATAAAATGCTCCTTCCTGGGACATGCCCTGTGGAGTACTAGGCTAAGCCTCCGCCTACAGCCTCAGAATCCCATAAGCACGCCGGTTCAAGTCCCTACTGCTCCTCTTCGGATCCAGCTCTCTGCTGTGGCCTGGAAAAGCAGTAGAAGATGGCCCAAGTCCTTGAGCGCCTGCACCCATATAGGAGACCTGGGAGAAGCTCCTGGCTTCAGCTCCAGCCTTTAGGCCATTTGGGGAGTGAACCAGCGGGTGGAAGGCCTTTTACTCTCTCTCCTTCTCTCAGTCTGGAGCTCTACCTCTCAAATAAATAGATAAAATTTTAAAAATGCCCCTTCTTGAAATATTAACCGGTTAAGAGTCACCGATGCCCATGAAGAAACTGACAACCAAGAAAAGTTGGTGAACTGTACTGTGGAAAAGACAAGTACAGCGAGCAGGCCTATGAATGGTATCTTTTGTTCGTTTCTTCCCTGGCCAACCCAAGTTGTTCAGGAACACGCATGGAACTGGGGGTCCCCGCGCAGCGAAGGGCAGAGGCAGGGCCGCCCAGAAGCACTGAAGTCCACTCCGGCGGCTCCTACCATCAGCCGCAGAGGCTGGTTTAACCCCGCAGGGCCTGCGCTGTCTGCCGGGCACGCAGCTCTCCGGACAGGGGTCCTGCAGCCCAGCCTCCCGGCGGCCCTGGCCACCGTACCGCGCCCGTGCAAGCCCCTCTCAGCTCAGCCCGCGGGCTGCAATCCAGGCCCCGCGACCCCCAAGGTGATACCCTAACCCCCGAGGTTGTGGACGCGCTTTTGTGAAGACAGAGTGCCCCGCGGCCAACAGCCGGCATATGCCAGGGGCCCCACAAACCTTGCTGGGGCACACGGCTCGAAAGCGGGATGGGAACTCTGAGAAGGGAGAGGCAGGCGGTATCAGCCCCGTGCGGACTGCCCCGGGGTGGCCTAGAGCACCTGGCGCGGGGAGACACAGGTAAGGCGGGCGTCTGCCCCGGGCCGAAACCGCGCATGCTCCCCCGGAGAGGCAGTGGACCTGACGGCTGGTTCAGCTAAACTCCAACTTCCAGATAAACGAATGATTTTCTCGCCTCGTCGACTTTTTAAAACTTTCTGTTTCCGCCACGCGGGCGAACGTATCCCGGGCGGAATCCGCAACACTTTTTTCTGTGGAGACGGGAGCGACCCGGGCAGAGACAGAGTCCAGAGAAGCAAGGAGTCGGGGGAGCCCCGCGCATACGGAGGAACGCAGTTCGCGTTACCTTTCCCGATCGCGAGGGGAGGAGCGGGGCGCCGGGCAGCCCTCTCCTGCCACAGCTAGGAACGTCTCAGCCTAGGGAACGCGCCAGACCCCCAGCGACCGTCTCTGTTTGCCCCGTCGCCAGGGAGACGGCGCGGGGTGTGCTGGGAAGTCGGGGTAGGGCGGAAGTGTCCGCCTACCCAAGGCGTGAGGAAAGAGAGGGTAAACCGCCCGCCAACCTTCCTTAAGCAGACAGCAGCCATTTGGGAACGTAAGTCCCAGACCTCGCGCCTTCAGGCCTAGAGTACCTTCCCCGGGCGCAGTGGCTGCTACCGGCTTCCCGGAACCGGGTTCCCCGTGACGTCACTGGGAGACTTCCGGTCCCGGCTGTCGGGCTTTGGGGCCTGGCGGGCCTCCTGCCGCTTCGCGTGGAAGGGTTGCTGCTCCGGGGAGGGGGCAGGTGGGCCCTGCTCGCAGCTGGGGCAGCGGGTTGTGAGGTTCAGGGTGCGTGGTGTGTGAAGGCCTGTGTTTGGGGACTTAGATCGAATGTTGAATACCCCTTACCTCCTCATCTCGCATTCTGTTGAACTGTTCAGTACAAGGCTCTGTCCCTGGCTTAGGATGAGTGAACACACTCCGTGCCCGCAGAAGCTTTGTAAGACAGCCTTGCGAGGGTACTTACTTGTGCCCTGCAGGATAAGGGGCTGAGATACCGACAAGGCTGGCACTGGGGTGAGGTGAGTCCACTTAAGTAACCAAGGGAAACACATTTTTACGCAGTACCTCTACAACTCAGTTTGCAACAACAAAAAAGTCCATGATTGGCAGTCCATTATTGACAGGATTAGTAACAGTGGCGTGCTGAATTATAATGCAGCCTGTAGCGAAAGGAAAGGCCGGAAATGCTTAATCCTGTGAGTCGAGTAGGGTAACCGGGCTGGATGGGAGAGATAAGAAGGTAAAAGGAGCTTGTTTGGAATGAGACTGGGGAGTTGGGTTCCTAGAAGGCTGAGCAGTTGTTTTCCTTACTGAAGACCCGAGAAAAGTTCCCAGCCTCTGTCAGTGAAAAAACAAAACCTGGATGCCTGTTGGCAGTCTTCTGGTTTATCGTGAGATTGATTTCGGTATCATTTTAATGGCTTAGAACTTTTTATTTTGCCCTTATAAAACAAATACTCTGTATTATAAGATGGTGTTATCTCAGTACCAGAAGTCCCCAGACTGTTCTACTGCTATGTCAGTAATGGATATTAACTAATTCTCCTGTAGATCCAAGAGCAGCCTCCGTCCCTATCCAAAGATCAAAACCTATGAAACCATTGAGTTTGTGCCTTGTAACTCATGGAGAAAGCAAACGACAACGGAAACGCTTTCAGCTAGTGTTGCCCGAGGATATAGGTAAGAGTTCAGAGATGCTGACAGCCTACATGTTCTAGGTAAAGAGTATCTCGTAACATCTGCTGTGAATTCAATGGTGCTACAAGCCATGACTGAGTGCCCCAGGACCTGCGTCAGTTGAGAATGTCTTCTGTTGTTTTAAACAGGCAACTCTGCAGATTGTCATCATGGGTATCCGAGGACTAATGAGTTTTGTGGAAGATCATAGCAATGACTTCTTCACTGATTTGAAGTTGCGGGACACGAAAATTGTTATTGATGGCTATGCTCTTTTCCATCGACTTTGTTTCAATTCAAATTTGGAGCTGCGCTATGGAGGCGACTATGATGCTTTTGCAGATGTTGTACAAAAGTTCTTTGAATCACTGTTTGCTTGTAATATATGTCCGTATGTTGTTTTAGATGGAGGATGTGACATTTCAGATAAAAAGCTTACAACTTTAAAGGATAGAGCTAGAGAGAAGATTCAGACAGCCCATTCCCTTTCTGTTGGTGGGGGTGGTTATGTATGTCCCTTACTCATCCGGGAAGTGTTCATCCAGGTTCTGGTCAGGCTACAGGTATGTTTTGTCCAGTGCTTTTCAGAAGCAGATCGGGACATTATGACACTTGCCAACCACTGGGATTGCCCTGTGTTATCATCAGATAGTGACTTCTGCATCTTTGACCTGAAAACTGGGTTTTGCCCATTGAACAGCTTTCAGTGGAGAAACATTAACACTTTCAAGGGCACAAAAAACTGCTATATTCCTGCCAAATGCTTTTCCCTTGATGCATTCTGCCATCACTTCAGCAACATGAATAGAACCCTGCTACCTCTCTTTGCGGTACTATGTGGAAATGACCACATTAATCTGCCCATCATGGAGAAATTCTTAAGTAAAGTACGTCTTCCCGTTGGAACCACCAGTTCTAAGGGGAGGAGACACCATCGAGTCCTGGGCCTACTGAATTGGTTGTCTCATTTTGCAGACCCTTGTGAAGCACTAGATAATGTCCTCAACTATCTCCCAAAAAAGGATCGAGAAAGTGTTAAGGAACTTCTCTGCTGTTCCATGGAAGAATACCAGCAGTCCCAGGTGAAGCTGCAGGACTTCTTCCAGTACGGCTCTTACGTCTGCCCAGACGCCTTGAACTTGGGTTTACCAGAATGGATACTAGTGGCGTTAGCCAGAGGCCAACTACCCCCTTTCATCAGCGATGCTTTGGTGCTACGAAGGACTATCCTTCACACTCAGGTAGAAAACATGCAGCGACCAAATGCCCACAGGGTGTCGCAGCCCATCCGGCAAATCATCTATGGGCTTCTTCTGAATGCTTCACCACATCTGCGGGATGCAGCCTGGCAGGCGTCGCCGCCTCAGCCTGTAGCCTTCAGGGAAGTGGAAAGGATTCACAGAAATATCACAACATCAGTTGTTGATGCCGTAGACCCGCTCAAGGACCGTTCCGACCTAAGCACGTTGACTGAGGTATGTATTTATATTGAAGAAATGTTGGTAAAGCCCTGTACAGGTTATGAGGTTCTTTCACATGTAGTCTCTCTTAATATACCAAACTGAGGGTGTGTGGGGGGATCTATCTTGCCCTCATTTCATAGCTGAGAAAACTGGAACTCCAGGAACTAATCTTTAGCAATAAAACGTCAGTCCTGGGACTGAAACCGAGCTCTCGCAGTTCCGAGTCTGCCGTTTTCACCGTACTGCAGCAGCTGTCTCGCCTTCAGGTATTGCTGCTATGTTGAGATTAGCTATCAGTAGAAGGGTTACGTGGCTAAATTCTCAACTACGAAAGCAGTGTGCCTGTGGGCACTGAATAAAGGCGTAACTAACACCGGGGCTGACATCAGATGGCCGTTCACGTTAGCGCTGATGCTACGGTCTAATTTCTTTGTTTTCATCGATGAGGACTTTAGGCTGTAGGTTTGTGGCATTGTGGTGACTTGCTTAGCTTGATACTGAAAACGAGATTCCCTTAGCCTAACTTGGGTGTTGTTTAAATCTGAGTGACACTCAGACAAATCCCCTTTTCAAGGAGACAGATTCTCATGGATCCCAACGTTGTCTTCGTTTTTTATAGTATTACATAGATACATTAAAAATTACAAGTATGAAAAAGCTTATATTGATAATGTAGCATTTCCTACTGGGGGTCTTCTTGGATCCAGCTAAATACTCCGAGTCACAGCCTCACAAGCTGTTCTCAGTGCCCAGATTACTCAAGGATATAGCACAGCAGTGACAACTTGCCAGCAGACTTGAGTCAGGCTTTTCTCTTCGGTGAGAGGCTTTCCAGTACTGTCAGTCTACACCAGTGGTTCTCCACCATTGGGATTTTGCCTGGAGACATTTCTGATTGTCACAACTGAGGGGGTAGAACAGATGGTGGTTGCTACTGGTATCTAACCAAGGGTGCTGCTAAATTTCTTACAGTGCACAAAGAATTATCTTGCCCAAGATGCTCTTAGTGTCAGTTTCTTGCCTGGACAGCTGGCCAGGAGCTAGCCTGCGTTGCCTCCCCATTATTGCCACTGCAGGCACGAGGGAACAAGATTCACACAAGTGGGGGTAAAGCCTCCTTAGCACTGAGGAGTGACTGCTAATGGGAACAGGATTTCTATTTTTTTTTAAGATTTATTTTTACTTATTTGAAAGTCAAGAATGACAGAGAAGTCTTGCATCCACTGGTTCACTCCCCAAATGGCTGCAACAGCCACAGCTGGGCCAGGCCAAAGCCAGGAGGCAGGAGCTTCATCTGGGTCTCCCATGTGGTTGCAGGGGCCCCAGTACTTGAGCCTTCTTCCGCTGCTTTCCCAGGTGCATTAGCAGGGAGGTGGATCAGAAGTGGAGGGACTAGGACTTGAACCATTGCCCATAGAGGATGCTGGCACTGCAGGCAGAGGCTTAACCTCTATGCCACAGCCCCGGCCCCAGACAGGGTTTCTTTTAGGGTGATGAAAAGGGTCTAGAATCAGTGATGTTTGTACAAGCCTATTTAAATACACCAAACCAATGAACTATGAACTGTACACTTTAAAAGGGTGAATTTTTGACATCTGGCTTATACCTCAAAGAAAGAAACATGTCTAATTGCTTAAAAGCCTTCTACATGGGATATAATCTCATATAACAATTATATAGCTAGGGCTGCCATGGCCCCTGCAAGGGATGTGCCTCAGGGAAGCCCCAAGACATGGTGTCTCCATCAGGTGTAGTTCATTTATAGTTCAAGCCTAGGTCCAGTTTTTTAAAAGGAGTCCTGTTTATCATGCTTAGTCACACAGCTGACAATCTACCCTTATCACATTTCCAGGTTTACAGATCTAGAAAGTTGAATATAAGTCAGATTCTCGGGGGATTTGCTAAAAGCTTATCCATGCCAAAAAAAATTCAGCAACACTCTAACGAATATTTTGCTGAAATAACATTTTCACTCTTAAGTGGTACTGTGGGGTTTTTTTTTCCAACTTTTTATGACTTTGATGAGAAATAATGTACAACCAAGTGCACACAAAGTATGCGCATTAAGGCATTCGAACTTATGTGTACATCCCTGAGCCCATCCTACAATTAAAATAATAGATGTATCCATCAATCTTAAAAGCCACCTCTTGCCCCCTCTGCAGTTATCCCTCCCTGAATAGACACACAGAGCAGAAGGCACAGATAATTATACAGGTGGATGCATCGTCCCACAGTACCTCCATGCAGAGCACACAGAGGAAGGCTCACTGTCACCACCCAGGCATGTGCCCTAGAGCGCCAGTCGCCCCTCTTATATCCAGTCACTATTCCTGACCTCCTAAAGACAAACTTGACCCAATTTAGACTTTATGTGTTCTTTCACCTGGCTTTTTTAATTTACCAGATTTGTAGTTCATACATAGCTCTGTTGAGTTGCTGTAGTTCATTCATTTCTCATTGCTGTAATGTTACATTGTGGGAATCCACTTTTCCATTTTATAGGTAGTCAGGCATTTAGGTTAGTTTCTGGTTTGGGGTACTGCAAATAGTGCTGCGAGCATCCTCGTGCACATCATTTAGTGAGCCTATTGTATATGTGAACACTATGAAAAAACTATGCATAGATCTCAAACTTTTTGCACCAAAATAAACTTTCTAATCCCATTTTTCCAGACTTTTTGAAGTCTTCTTGTATAACTACAAATGTTACTGTAAGTGAACTTATAAGACTTATTGCCAAATGGTGTTGCAAAGCTAGGTGAACCAAGTAGTATTCCACCAGTGGCACAGAGGAGTACCTCTTCCCTTGACACCCTTGCCAGTATTTGGTATTTGCTGGCCTTTTACAAAGCATTAGCTATTCTTGTGTAGTAGTACTACTTTAGCCATTGCAGTAGGTAATTTGCAATTCTTTTGATTAGTTATTTGAACATCCTTTCATGTGTTGGCCATTTGGATATTCTGTTACGTGAAGTTTCTGTTCAAAATCCTTTGCCCATTTTTCTGGTCTTTGTATGTTTACTTCTTATTTTATTTTTTTTTTTTATTTTTTATTTTTTTTTTATTTTTTCTTGACAGGCAGAGTGGACAGTGAGAGAGAGACAGAGAGAAAGGTCTTCCTTTGCCGTTGGTTCACCCTCCAATGGCCGCCGCGGCCGGCGCGCTGCGGCCGGCGCACCGCGCTGATCCGATGGCAGGAGCCAGGAGCCAGGTGCTTTTCCTGGTCTCCCATGGGGTGCAGGGCCCAAGCACCTGGGCCATCCTCCACTGCACTCCCTGGCCACAGCAGAGGGCTGGCTTGGAAGAGGGGCAACCGGGACAGAATCCGGTGCCCCGACCGGGACTAGAACCCGGTGTGCCGGCGCCGCTAGGCGGAGGATTAGCCTAGTGAGCCGCGGCGCCGGCCTTGTTTACTTCTATACACAGGTCCTTTGTCAGATAACTTACTGTGAACTGTCTCCCCAGTTCTGTTTTACTCTTTATTTTGTTGAGCAGAGGTTGTTGGTATGAATTTAGTCATTTAGATTATTTATGTTAACCACTTTTATAACCTACTTACAGAATTTCTGCCTATGTCAAGACCTTGAAACTGACTTTAGCCTTTCACATGTAGACCTACAGTCTACTGTAGCGCTAAGAATCGATTGACTTTTACCTTTCACGTGTAGACCTCGTCTACTAAGAATTAATTTTTTATGTGTGTCTGTGGTGTGAAATGGAATTGGAATGCTTTCCCCCATGTGCAAATCCAGCTGAATGAGTACAGAATGCTGATTCTGTTCCCTGCCGAGCAGAGATGACTCAGGTGTTCTCACTATTCAAAATAGAGTGAAATTTTAGTTCTCTGTGCTGTCATTTTGCTTCTCTGTGGCACGAATTCATCAATTCTGTATTTACCTCAGTGCTTTTAATTAGCCCATGATGATTCTGAACAACACTGGTGCAAATGTGATTCTAAACGCAAATGCAGGTACAAAGCTAGAAACCTTCCAAAAGTAGGCTTGTTGATATTGTTGTTTTTAACATCATGTAGTTATAATATGTATCCGTCTTATGCTGTTGTGAAAGAAACGTTATACATCCTCCATTGAATTCCCATGGAAACCACGTAGGATAGAGTTTTATTTTAGGTTATGTTAGTTGCGATGGACAGAAAACCACTCAGGTTTAACCTTAAGGAGATGTGGGACTCTGGTGCCTTGCCTCTCTTGGCAGCTTCTGCTGTAGGCCTATGCTTTTGCTCCCACTGGGAACAGAAAAGGAGTTGTCACATGGGATTAAATTGACCATCTTCAAAGGCTATGAGCAGAGTAGCTTGGTGTATTTGATGAAACATATTGTGCAACTCATTATCCATTTCATGGATGATCACACAGGCGATAGGAAAACGGTAGAAACATGCCCAGGGCCATAGCGGTAGGGAGGGGCAGACCATCTTTAAGCCAGAGCCCACACTCTGCCCCCAGATGTTATGGCTTGGCTCTAGAATTCAGTAATTTAAGCATTATATGCCAGAAAAAAAAATCTATCTCCTTATCATGGTAAATTTTTTAAAACAATTAAGGAGATTACTCTTTAAGTAGTTAATCCTACTTCCAGTAGGAGTTACTGATTATACTGTAAAGCACTTTGCATATTTCTTATAAGTGGCAATTTAAATTTTTTTATTATTATTTATTCTTATTTAATTGAAAGGCAGAGAGTCAAGAGACAGAGAGATCTGTCTGCTGGTTCACTCCCCAGATGCCTACTACAGCTGGGGCTGGACCAGGCCAAAGGTGGGAGCCCAGAACTCAATCTGGTCTCGCATGTGGGTGGCAGGGATCCAACTACTCTAGCTATCACCTGCTCCCTCTCAGGGTGTACACTTTCTGAAAGCTGGCATTGGAAGAGGAGCTGGGACTTGAGCCAGGCACTCTGATAAAGGGATGCAGGTGTGCCAGGCAGCATCTTAACTGCTATGCCAAATGCCTGCCCCATTTTGCATATTTCTAATTTCAAAAATTTTATCATATTAAATTACTGAAACCAATATTTATAAATCATTGTACTAGAGGTGGAGGAAGATGGCGACTGAGTAAGACGCTTGAGGGACCATCTCCCACAGAGGCACCAGTCTGAACAGCTATAAACGCACCAAATCACCTTCACAAGAGCTGTGGAAGCCAGGTGAGCGACCACAATGCCTGGATTCAGTACAATAACAACAAAAGTTGCATTGAAGAAAGCAGGAAGGAAAGATTTGCTTGTGTCATCCCTCCCTGAGCTCCAAGTAGGGCAGTGTGGTGAGAGATGCCTTGCCTCCCACCTAAAGAAGGAGAAGGAATTAAGTCCAGTGTTTAGACTGGAATAGCAGTGACAGACCCACAGGGATAGAACTCAGTGACACAGGGTCCCACAGCCCCGGCCCCCAGACGCGTATCTGCAGACGATTTAGACCCTCCGTAACCAAGCAGGCAGGGGACCGCTCTCAACTTCCGACAGTGCAGCAAGAAGCCACTTGCTGCGGATTAGGGCAGGAGGGAGCTGAGGACTTTGCAGTGGGGCCCACTGCTATGAGACCTAGCACCTGATAAATCCCAAAGGCCCCCAGCACCAGTCATCACAGATGGAACAGCCAGAATTCCCCTCATCAGGCCAAGAGCTGCACTCACGTGGGACAGACTCATTTTGGCATGTATTGCCACCATCCGCAAGTGGGCCTGGCATGCACCTCTAGATTGCACAGGGCCTGATGACAGGGAGACTCGGATCAACCCAACTAGTACTTCTGTAGGAGACTGCCTTTGTCATTGGTCCCACCATGCTGCTGCACTGGTCATGGTGGCTTGTAGGCTATGGGTGTGATGTACCTTGTAGTAACTGTGGCCACAGGACTAGGCATCTGGGCCTGTATCAGCCCCAGAAAACAGCTTACATAAACAGACTCCCCCTTTTCATAACATACTAACTGCAGATTTGGGACAAATTTGAGCATGGGCTATACTTTAGGACTGAAACAATGAAAACAATAACAGCAAATCTCGACCTAATATACCATCTGATGCTGAAGTCAGGCTCAAAGAAAGTAGATTACTTAGAATTTCTGGAAGGACAGCCACAAATGAAGCCAGATTACTCTTAACTAATCCTTCAGTGCTTAGGCAACACCATAGACCGGCTAGCACCAAGAGTTTCCAGAAAACCACAACCTCCCCTTACAAACAAAATGAGGTACCTGAAACCAGACATCTAGGAATTGAAATTTTCAAATGGGTGGATGAAGATTTCAAAATAGCTGTTTTAAGGAAGGTCAGTGAACCTCAAATGAACACAGAAACAATACATTTAACAGAGGAGGGGGGAAGTAATTTTTAAAAATCAAACCAAAAGCTCATCTTCTGGGGATTATCAGTAATGGCATCATGTGAACGTGATGCGTAAATGCACACCGGCAGGCAAGGGTAGGGTAGAGTACAGATCTTTGTTTCTCAAAGTGCTGTGCTTGGGCTGCTACTTAAATGCAGGTTCCTGGGCTCCCTCAACCAGCTTCCGACAGGATGGGAGCACCCAAGGATGCAGTGACATGAGTGAAGGCTGTGTAGCAGGAAAAGACAGTGTACCCATTCAGCCACCTTATCCTTTAAGGACCTTATCCCTGTTCTAAGTGCTGTCATCCCTTCCCCACTAGAAGGTAAGTTTAGCAACTGAAGCAGTTTCATTTGCATTAAGCCCTTTCCTGCTGTGTAAAAGAAGACATTCCCTAACACAACTGGCAAAATGTTTGGTATTTTCAGCTCTCCTTGGTCAGAAGGCTGATGCTTCTGTTAGAAACCCTGAAGGTGAAACAGACCATCCTGGAGCCAATCCCTGCTTCCCTCAAGTTGCCCATTGCTGTCAGCTGCTACTGGTTGCAGCAGTCGGAGGCCAAGGCAAAGCTGCATCATCTACAAGCCTTATTGCTGGGGATGCTCATGGGGCCCTTGCACGCCATCATCAACAGCCCTGGTAGGTGACAGGAAGTTCCAGGAGTGTTTTTGCATTTTACTTGGAAACTGCATATGCAAGAGTTTACACTGACAAAATTTTTCTTTTGATTATGTATTCCCATCATTTACATCAGCATTGGTGAATACTTTGAACTCTTTCATGCGCTAGGCTCAGTGCCACAGGCTCGACTCCTCCATGTGTGCTGCAGGGAGTTGTAATGGCACTGCCAAATCTTGCCTGCTGCAGCACCCAACGCTTTACCTTCCGATGTGTGCCAGTGTGTACTGTCCTTTATACTTGTGTAGTCCATGTTCCCTACCTGTCATTAACACAGCAGCAACATCACAAGAAATGCATTTAAAACTGCCTAGAAGAGAGTCTTCTGAATAGCTACAACCAACCATTTTTTTAAACTTTTTCCTCTCTGCTGTAATTCTCATTTAGTGTACAAATAGTGGGAATAGACATGGTAACTTTTTTTCCTAGAGAAACACACTGAAGCAGTTTCCTCTGCATTTAAACCTCAGGTGAAATAAATGTTGAAGCCTGGGGACACTTCAGTTCTCTAATGATAAAGATAAATCTTTAAAAAATAAATAAGTGATTATTAATGCTAAAACCAGAGGACGTAAAAAGTTCATGGAAAATGGAACTAAAAGATAAGTTTATTTTGGTGAATATTTTTTTAAATCCATGCATAATACACATTTCCCATGAACTTTTTGAATGTAACACTACCTAAAGGTATAGGTTGTCACACTCTGGAAGTACTATGTAATACGGCAGCTACTAACCACATGTGGCTGTTTACTGTTCAAGTCTGGCTGTTGTGACGGTCAGCAGGGACAGAGAACATTTCCGTAGCTGCACAAGGCTTTCCGGATAGTGCTCCTCCTCACTTCATTTTTCTAAAAGTGTCACAGCACGGGCTCCAAAACACCCCCAAATATTGAGGCTCAAATCTGACAGTATCTGTCAGAGGGTCCGTTGTAATAACAGCCAGCTCTAAGTGATGAAGGCGAGCTACTGCTTTAAGAACACAGGCTTAGGGTGTTTCCTCTAACAAATACCGTCTAAGAAAACTTTCAGAGCAAAAGCCCAGGAAGCTTCTACCTGAGTCCAACAGCAGGGGCATGCCAAGGGGCATGCCATCTCTCTTTTAGGAAATGTGGCACCCATGCCCAGGCGAACTCAGTGCCTTCCTGCTCGCTGATAAAAGGTGCCCCCCCCCCCTTTTTAAGTTGGTCCAGATTGCTATTTTGTGCACCCTGCTCAAACAAACCTAGGGAAACTCACAGCCAAACACATGGAGACACAACTAGCATGGCTGTTCCTGGCCCCTTATCCTCTATCGTGTAAAAAAGCAGATTATTCCTCAAACTCTGAGTCGTGCCTTGGTTTTCCTCCCATGAAACCGAAGTTAAAATGTGCTTTCAACACACGAGCTGTTTCTACAGAACAAGTGCACCGCAGCACAGGGGTTTCCTTGAAAGGAAGTTTAGTGAAAGAGAAGAGAGAATGGCATTTAATAGTCATTTGTATTTTCATAGACAGAGTAGAGGCTGAAGAACTCACATGCAGACACGTTCAAGGTTACTGGATCAGGGGAAGAGACCTTATTTCAAGGAGAAGATAAAATGACTTGGGGTTGAATAAGCAATTATCATAAAAAAGGCATTTCAGTATAAATATTTCAGTGTGTACAGCAAGGCATTTATGAAGCCGGAAGAGAAAAACATTTTAGTGGTTTTTTTTTTAAATTAATTTTCTTCTTTGTGGGATTTGTAGTTTTATGTGTGGAGAAAAGTACAAGCTGATACAGTATTTTTGGAAATAGTGCCTTTGGGTTGTTTCTTTATCTAGGTAAGGAAGAGCTTCAGGAAGCTGGTGCTAAGAAGTTGTACGGAGAGTTCCAAAGACTGAAGGAGCAGGCGCGGCCAGGCTCGAGGCTGGACTTAGACACGGCTCACATCTTCTGTCAGTGGCAGTGCTGTCTCCAGATGGGGATGTATCTCAATCAGCTGTTGTCCACTCCTCTCCCAGAGCCAGACCTAACTCGGTAAGCACCATGGGAAACTAGTTCAGATGGATGCACACACAAGCAAATACTTTTACTTATATTTAAAGCAATGAAGTTACTTTTAAAAAAATTAATCTTAGTATAACTGATCTTAGATACTGGTATAGCTGAAGAGCTGGAAACAGGAAAAATAGTAAATTATTTCTATATTCCTGAAGAATGTCTCCATGATTTGATTTACTTTTCAAAGTAATTTTTTGAAGTTATTTTCATAATACACACTTTCACAAACATTCTGAAGATCCCTCATTTGCTTTCTTCTTTTAATCAAAATAAACTCATCTTTTAATTCAATTTTTCCACAGCACTTTTTGAAATGCCCTTGTGTATCTCTGGGCATCGTAACTGAGCTAACCCAAACACATCCTACCAGACTGTTAAATCTTTTAATAATTGAGGTCATTCTTTACTGCGTCTTCTGCAGCTACCACAAATTCCTTTGACACAGGAGAAATAAGACCAAACAGTTCTCTTAGTAATGCCTTCAGCAGAAGGAAATATTCCTGCATGTCAAAATAACTAGGCTTTTGAAATGATGACTTACATGCTAAGGCACCAGTGAACCCACTCTGCCTAGAGTCACATAGATTAATACTGGGGATTCCAGTTAATCCATGTTCTGCTTTTGCAGTTGGTTTAGTCCAAGTGAATGATCTTTTAAATTATACTGTTAAATTTCCTATTTTAACTGCCTGTCTGTTTTACCAAGGTCATTTTAAATTCCTTTCTTTAGAGACTTTCTCAACTTGAAGCTAGTTGCAAAAGCAATAAGCATCATCTAATTTGTTGTTTAAAAGTGTTTAAATATCACCAGCCGAGAAGTAATCCCTTTTAAAACAACTCAGTTCCTTCCAGCAAGGAACAGATTATTCTTAAATAACTGTGACAACTTTATAGGAACAGTAAGAGCTTCTGCTGTTTAGATAGGTTTGCTGGAGACGTGTTAATGACACTTGTCCTGCTGCCCTGAACTGAGGGTTCACAACATCCTTTCTTGTCCCATTGAACAGACTGTACTGCGGAAGCCTGGTGCACGGACTATGCCACCAACTGCTGGCTTCGGCCTCTGTAGACAGTCTCCTGAGCTCGTGTCCTGAGGCTAAGCAACTTTATGAACAACTGTTCAATGCCACAAAGTATTATGCTCCTGCTGAGTTATTCCTCCCAAAGGGTAAATCAAATTCAAAAAAAAAGAAGAAGAAGAAACAGGGAACCAGCTGGTCAAAGAACAGAGCAGAAACCACCTCAGATACCACGGGTTGGAATGACGGCAGCAATCGCTTTGGGCTGTTAATGGCTGAAAACCTAGAGGAACATACTGAGGCCGCTGAGCTTGAATAAACACGGGCTGCATCAAACGCGATACACACTTCTGACTCCAAATTGTCTTCTTCCCACCCTTGGAACCATTAACTTTTTACGATTAACCTGTTGGAGATAAATACTCCAATAGATAATATTTGAATTCCCAAGTAATTTGTATTATGCTTTTAATAAACATAACCTGATTTTAAAAAATTTTAAGCACATGTGGAAGCATGTTTGTACATGTCGCATTCCACTTCAAAGAGTGAAGTCATCGGCTGTAACCTACTGCAGAAACTCAGCCAGCTGTGTTTTCAAAAAGTAGAATTCCAACTTCAGTTATTTCCCAAAACCTAGTTTTCATTTCAAAACATCTTAAGGACCATTTCCTCTTTGGACTTGAGTTCATAAACAGTCTGTGCCATGAAAGAGCTAGGATGCCACAAAAACTGTCTCCTGAAGTCAGAAGTCAGTGAGACTACACAGGGTTGGTGAGCACTTCGGCTGTGCTCCAGGTTTTAAGTGAAGTAGAAACAAATGGTAACGGCTCCGTCAATTAACACATTCTGAGAGAGGCAGCAACAGCAGACTCCAGTTCTTTTACACCAGAAGTCGTGACTCCTTAGTGGGATATGCAAAGTAGTTAGTGAGTCATAACCAGCATTTTTTGAATGAACATGTCAGGTTTACATGTATTGCAAAATGTATGTCTTACTGTAGACAACAATCAAAAGAGTTTGAAAGGCACTGCTTTGGAAAACACTAGAGTGTGCTAAAATTACAAGTACCAAAAGAGTTGTGAAGGTGCTGGCCAGTTCCAAATAAAGAATATGATTATTAAGAAACAAGTGGAATGAATAAATTTGGGCAAGATCTGAAAGTATATGCCAACCTTCATTTTCCTTAAATCTGCAGATTGTGTTCGTCCTTTTTCTCTGTTCTTCCACTGGTATACTCATCAGTAATAACCCTAAAGGTTTTAAGCTGCCAGCTTCAGCAGGCCTATGTCCCGCCCCTAACATCTAATAAACAATTGCTCCACTTTCCTGGAAAGTGGAAGAGCTCTTCCAGACTCTGAGGAGTAAGCCCAGCATCGGCCACTGTCAAACACATACCTCCCTAGTCATTTACAGAGGCAAAACACAAGGTCATTTGCTCCTACCAACTGTCAGTTAACAGTTCTTGAAATAAGAAACTTTTTATTATTTTAGGTGTGCACAGTTTCTTAGGTTGTTTATGTCTCCAAAAATTTGGACACTCACCAAAGGATCAATAAAAGCAGTTGGGGGACAGTATTGTGGTGTAGTGGGTAAAGCCT